ACATAAATTCTACAAGTATCTTCATTTACATCTCATTTTTCAATAGAGCTATCTAAAGGCATGACTCCAGTAATTAAAAAAAAATTTATATATATACATATATATATGTATATCATCCTGGCCAATGTGGTTCAGTGGCTGAGCATTGACCCATGCACCAAGAAGTCACCAGTTCAATTCCCGGTTGGGGTACAAGCCAGGGTTGTGGGCCAGATCCCCAGTTGGGGGCGTGCAGGAGGCAGCCAATCGATGTTCTCTCTCCCTCTCCCTTCCTCTAACATCAATAAAGAAAAAAAAATTATTTTTTTAAAGATATATATCATAACCTTGGAAACATCTGTAAAGGAAAAAGATTCAATACACTTAACAAGAAATAAAATCAGGACAGAAAAATGAGGAAAAGTAATTGAGTTATGATTTTAACTGAGTAATCGTCAAAGCTAAATGAAATCTTTTTTATTTTTTTTATTTTCGAGAGAGTGGAAGGAGTGGGGGAGAAGGAGGAGGAGAGGGAGAGGATGAGGAAGCAAGAGAACGAGGGGAAGGGGGGGGCATCTCCATTGATTTGCTGTTCCACTTATTTATGTATTCATTAGTTCATTCTTGTATGTGCCCTGAGGATCAAACTCACAACCCTGGCATATAAGGACTAACCAACTGAGATACCTAACAGGGCTGAAATCTACTTCTGTCAATACAGGACAGCTAAAAGCAAACACTTAAAGGATTTAATTTTTAGCTGGTCAGGAAACAATTTCTAACTGAAACCTGGTTTAAAAAAAGAATTGCCTGTCAACCTTCACAATTGCAGATGAAAACAGAATGACTTTCTACTGAGAGACACTGGCCTAATATTTTAACTCTCATCATATTTGAAAGTTTAAAACAGTAGTCATCCAAAGGAGACAGATGCTAAGACTGACAAAGTGTCTATCACTAAGAAAAATTAAAAATGAATGAGAATGCCCTTGCTGGTGTGGCTCAATTAGTTAAAGCGTCATCCTGTAGGCCTGGAAGGTGGCAGGTTCCATTCCTCGTCATATGGATGTTTCTCTCTCTCCCTCCCAACTTCCTCTCTCTCTCAAAAAAAAAAAGAATGAAAATGAGTACTGCCCCTGGCCGGTGTGGCTCAGTTCAGTTTGATTCCTGGTCAGGGCATATGCCCAGGTTGTAGAAGCATACAGGAAGCAGCTGACTGATGTTTCTCGCACACCAATATTTCTCTCTCTCCCTTTCCCTTCCTCTCCCTCTAAAATCAATTTTTAAAAATATTTATGTTTTGCCCTGGCCAGTTTGTCTCAGCGGTTAGAGTGTCGGCCTGCGGCTCAGAGAGACCCAGGTTCGGTTCCCGCTAGGAGCATGTACTTAGGTTGCAGTTTGTCCCCGACCCAACAGGGCTGTGCGGGTGGCAGCTACTCGATGGAAAAATGTCCTCAGGTGAGGATCAAAAAAAATATTTATGTTTTTATTAATTTTTATAGAGAGAAAGGGAGAGATAGAAATATCGATGTGAAAGAGCAACATTGATCAGCTGCCTCCTGCACACCCACTACTGGGGATCGAGCCTGCAACGTTGGCATGTACCCTGACGGGGAATTGAACCGGGACCTTTCAGTCCATGGGATGACGCTCAATCCACTGAGCCACACTGGCTGGAATAAAAAATATATATTTTTTAAAGAAATAAAATAAGTACTGCAATAAAATTTGGTTTATTCTATTTCTTTTAAGCTACAACTAGCATACCTTAATTATTACAAAGAAAAAGGTTAAAAAAATAACAAACACCAATCACCTGTACTCATGCTGCCTCACTTCTGGATTATGGAAATGAGCCACAGAAAAGTCGTTATTCTTTCTTAATGCAACATTTGTAAAATAAAACCATTATTATAATCAACAGTGGAAATAAAGATTAAACTCAGTACAAACTTGGTCTTAAAGAAATTTGAATAAAATTTCTTATTACAAATTTTGTTTGCTCACATTATACAAAAGTGGCTGGGAACTATGTTTTCCTTCACAAATTCTTAAAAGAATACCACCTCTAGGATGGATTAATGATACTTCTCGAGAAAAGCAATGAGGATCAAAACAAGCATCCTTTTCTTAAACGCAGCATCTGTGAAAAGAAAAACACCAAGACAGCTCATTTCCAATAATTTACTACAGAAATAAGACTAGTTATCTTCCTGTATTTTATTTTCACAACTTCATATGCCTGTTTATTAATAAAAATGTATGAACTTAATAATTAATAAAGGCATATGGCAAATGAATGGACAGAAGGAAGGCAAAGGAAGGAGGAAGGCAAACCCACTCATCACCCTCTTCTCTAACAGAATTTAATAAACTTTGAGTTCCCATAATACTTCTTATGTACCTCAATTTGAACCGTTTACATTAAACTAATTATTTCAGTCTCTCTCTGCAACACAAATTAAAAGTTTCATCTTTTCTATTTTTAAAATATATACATATATGTACTTAAATACTTTTCTGTTTTTAGATTCAGAAATGACAATAAGCAAATCCTTGGTTGATAAATATCTTGGTCAGAGATTTTCTAACTTAATTCAAAACATCCTCTGTCTCTTTAAAAGTTACAGACCTACATGATTTTCTCTGAAAAACTCTGGAATACTCCTAACCCAACTTTTGGTTGCAGAAATAAGTTATTACAAGGCACTAGCACCAGAAGCTGCTGCTACTTAACCTAAACCTACCTTTCTTGCTCCCTCTATATCCTGACATCTGAAAAAGACCATATGGTTCTAAGTATTCTATAAAAATAATGTTGAGTGCTTTCCAAACAGATGACATTATATGTAAGTTCCATATGTAATGACTATATTAAAAAATCATTATACCATGGAAATTACAACCAATAATAAAAATGCTTAGTAAACTACTTTTATGCAGTTAACACAGAGTAAGTCAAGACATAGTTCTAACAACCCATCACAAAATAGCAATACTTCAGATGACTGATTCCTCAGTATAAATCCTGAGTAAACTCAGGAATGTTAAAGATAACTAAGAATAAGGTTGGAGGGAACAAAAATCTGTTTGCTATTTTCCTTTTCAACCTCTCCACAATTTCCACCCTTCCAAACATCCCCATGGCTTCCAATATGTTAACATTAAAATGCTGTTAAGTTTATCCGTCTCATTCTGACCTACATATGTCAGCACTAAGAATTATAAAATGTCCATAAAGTAAACATAAGAAGTAGAGAAGTTAAGGAGGTCAAGTTTTTCAAGAAGATATATGAATTTAAAACCTCTGAATTAACAGTTGGTGAAGATACTACATGGTCCTTTTTTTTTTCCACTTTAAAAGACACTAATATGTTAAGAATAAATTTTTTAAAAGGTAAAAACAAAATAATAAAAACGGCAGGATTATGCAGAATGAACCGTAATTGACAATATCAAAGTGTAATATGATAAAAGAACAGTATTCCCCAAATTGTTTATGGCTAGATTTCTCTCTACAACAATCCAAGTTTAACCTCACATACAAAGTTCCTGTACCAGCAAAAACAAATGCTAATGGAACTTGGGCTTCTGATGTATTATTTATTACAAATCTGATTTTAGACTGTCTTGGATTCCACTAGCTTGGCCCCAAACCATGACAAGGTTGAGGTTACAAAGCAATACACCCAATAAAGCAATCTTTAAAAACACTATAGAGTGACACATGGGGATTCCCAAAGAACAATTTACTTTATGGTGACAGAAACAAATAAGCGATTCTGATGGTACGGAAAAGTTACTCATCCCACAGACCTAGTAATGACGCTAAAGGGAACTTGAGTGACACACCCAGAGCCGACCGCCACGTTAAGGATACAACTCTTTCGAGGTGGAGAGGGCTCACGCCAGCTCTGACTGCCGTTGAATCCGGATCCCGCTCCTCCTCCCAGAGGTGCTCTGCCCCCCGGCTTGCCTCCTCGGTCACCCCCTCCACGACCCCGACTCCAGCGACTCCCACCCCGGTAAGGCCTGCCTCGAAAGCGGAAACGGTCCAAGGCGATGTGGCTCCGTTCCCAGAAGGACGGCCGGGGGTTGCTTTCGGACAGTGAGCTCGAAGGCATCCGCACGGAGGGCTGGTGAGACCGGAATGACTCTTTGGGTCGGTAGCTGCTGTGTCCCCTGAGGTGGCCCCGCTCCGACGCGTGCCGCGAGCGTGAGAAATTCCTCAGCTGCTGCTGAGAAGAGGACGACGACGACGAGGAGCCACCGCCTCCGCCGAATCCACCGCCCCGGGCCGGGTGAGGAGGCCTTCGCCGCGGATACATTAACAGCTCGCAGCCGCTGCTGCTGCTGCTGCTCCGGCTCCGTATCTGGCTGTTATTATCGTCATCGCTGATCTCCCCATCTTCTAGCTCCCCTTCTTCTTTGGGCGAGAGGCCACTGGAGGCTGGGGCTGGAGTATCAGCGGTCGCCATCCCGGGAGCAGAGCCTTCCACACAACCTCAGCCCTCCGTCCGGGGAACCGCCCGACAATTACCTTCCTCCTCGGTTCCCTTCTCTTCTAGTGGACCCGGTCGGCAGGGCCTTACCCTACTCAGACACCTAGCGGGCTGTGCTCTCCAACTTCCCAGCACCCCAGCTCCGTCTCGCCGGATCGTCGCAACCCAGTTCCCTACCCTAGCGCCCCCTTGCTCCTTCGCGAGCGGGACTCTTCCGCCTCGCGAGAAAGGGGCTCCGAAAGTGGCCCTGCCCGCAACGTCACTTCCTGCGGCTCACAGGAAACAGGGCTCTCAGTTCCCGCGATAATTATTGAAACCACGCGATCTCAGTGGGACTTGTAGTTTCTTCCTGTCTTCGGGCCGGTCCTTCCAATCTATCACGCACACCCACCCCAGACTCTGGATTGGGAGTATTGGGGATATAGGGGAGTGTGATGGGATGGGCGGGCCTGTTCTTAATCTCGGCCTTGAAGGAGTATCGTAGAAATGGGGGAGGGGGAGCGGAAAGGGGGGGTAAAACGTCTTGTTGTTTAATTGCTCTGAGGACGGCTGCTAAAGAGACGCAGTAGCCCCACACCCCTTTGGGGCCAAGGAGGAGTCGGGCTGTGTCCGCCATGTTGGTGAAGGCAAAGGAAGGCGACCGGAGCTGCGGGACGGACGGCTCTGCTGGCTCAAATCCGCCATATTAATAAAGAGAAAGGGAAGCTTTGACCCCTGGCCCCCGACACACACACAGACATACCTCTTCTTCCCACCCCGCTCCCACGACCCAGCTCGGTGGGCCTTTCCCCTGCCTCACTTGTCCAGCCTGCCTGAAGGAAGCGTAGCAGACACCGCCCCAGAGCAGGCTGACGACAGCGCCGGATGAGGGGGAAAGGGAAATGCCGACCAATTGCGCCGCGGCGGGCTGTGCTGCTACCTACAACAAGCACATTAACATCAGCTTCCACAGGTAACCTGGGCAGGGCGTGGGGGTGAGACGGCGGCGCGAGCTGCCAGCTGGAGTACTGCTGGTGCGGCAGGAACACGAGAATTCGGCGAATTCTAGTAACTTCACTACCGAGGTGGTAGCAAGGAAGCATTCTAGTTTCCCTTTGTGTGTTTCTCAAATCTGTCCCATATTTCTTTCCCGTCGGGGAAGATTTACCCACGTTTCTATACGAAATCCAGGTTCTGTTTGGTGATCACGCCTTGAAAAAGTGACAGGAGGACGCCTTAATTTTCGACTCTTACTTTTACAGATTAGACCGGTCTTGACATTAATGACGCCGTAAGAGAGAGCTCTTCCTGTTCAAGTAGGCAATCACCTTAAGGCCTACTGTGTTCCTGTTAAATTCCCGTTAAATTCAGGACATTTTTTTTAAAATCAGGAAATTCTTACTGAATTGACATGGGAAGCATTTAGATTTCTAATAGTCACGTACAATAACTCTGCGGAGGAATTCAGTCATCATTAATGATAATCGTGGAATTAAGCAATGTTAATAAAGTACAAAAGAGAAGCTTTCTGTTCTTACCAGAACAGAGTAATAAAAGAACCTAGTTTCTTTTCTTCCTTGCTTTGCTGGAAGAACAATCAAAATTCTTTAGTTCTCTCAAACCAGAAATCTTCAAAGCACCTTGAACACTACATGAAATACAGTAAGTAAATGTTTACCCTCTCTGCAAGTGGCTGCCCTGTGACTGAAGAAAAGAAGCATTAAAAAATTACTTGCAGCCCTGGCTGGTTTGCGCAGTGGTTAGAGCGTGGGTCCAAGGACCAAAGAGTTTCAGGTTTGATTCCTGGTCAAGGGCAGTACTTTGGTTGCGGGTTTGGTACTGCTGCTCAGGGTGGTGCAGGAGGCAACCAATGGATGTGTCTCTTATATGCTTGTTTCTCTCTCTCCCTACCACCCTCCTCCTCTATCTAAAAAAAAATTTTTTAATCAGTGGAAAAAATATCCTCGGGTAAGGGTTAAAAAAAGTTTTTTAAGTTAAGTGCAAATGGTTCTGATTTTATATACCTCACAACTTAATACAATCTTAGAATATAGAAAATATCCTTGACCTTTTCTCTACCTCATGATGACTAAATGTAACTCCTTATTAAAAGTTGCCACTTAAAAAAAAAATCTTTGTGATGTTTCTGTTTTCAGCTACTTCTTGCAAATGTAGTGTTTTATTCATTCATGCATCAAATTTGTCCCGAGTTCTTATTTGCCTGCCATCATGCTAGGGATCCAGAAAATTCTTATATTCCTGGAGTAGTGAGAAAGAAAGACAGACAAAATTACAGTTAAGTGCCATGGGAAAGACATGAGACCAAATGGTGAGATAGATTTGGTCCTCTGTGTTCCTTTAAGGACTTTCTATTTTATCCATTAGTACTTGAGAAGCCAGGGAGGGTTTTTAAAGAGTGGCATAATTAAATGTGCATATTGAAAAGTCCTCTGGCTGAAGTGTGTAGAATAGTGTTACTGAAAGTGCTGGTTAAGCATCATCAAGAGGTGAATTTAATGAGAAAGAAGCTCATTAAAGAATGTTCATTTGGCCCTGGCCAGTTTGGCTCAGCGGTTAGAGCGTCAGCCTGCGGTCCGGAGAGACCCAGGTTCGGTTCCCGCTAAGGGCACGTGCCTCGGTTGCAGTTTGTCCCCGGCCCTGGTTGGTCGTGCGAGTGGCAGCCACTCGATGTGTCCCTTCACGTCGATGTTTCTCTCTCTCTCTCCCTTCCTCTCTCTCTCTCCCACTCTATCTGTACAAAAAATGGAAAAATATCCTCGGGTGAGGATTAAAAAAAAAAAAAAAGAATGTTCATTTGCCTACTGTTTCTTTCACAGCGAAATACCGCTGCTACGTTGTCAACTGAGCTACACAATTTACTTCTTTACTGGCACAACCAGCACTAGAGTAGAAGAGGTGAGAGTTAATAGAAAAAAAACCAGGAGCCTATAGTAAAATAAGGAAGAGTCCACCCAGTGGCCTAGACTAGAGTAGTACTGACAATAAGGATGGAAAGAAGTGAACAGATTTGAGAAATACTTGAGGAGAAATTACTGAATTTGATAATTTGATTTGGAAGATGAGAGAAAGGGAAGAGTCAAGGCACCAATAATGAATGTTTAAGAGATGCACAGTGATGCAGTAGCATGCATACTTCCTTTCCATATTTGACTGTTTGCCACTTATGAAGTTAACATTTTCATGTGTAACACAAAATTTTAGGTCATAAAATAACATAATAAAAATACATTTCTATTTTATAAATACGGGATTAACTAACTCCCCTTCTAAGACATTAGTAGACTTCTTTATTCCCATGTATAACATATGTTGTTTCAACTTCACTGTCTTCATTTTTCTTCTCTTAGACCACTCCAAATTAGGTCTCACCAATAATTTTCTGAAACTGCTTTTACTAACATGAGTTGTCACTCCTACATTCCTTTTTCATGGCTTATGCTCATTTCCTCCTTGAAATGCTCTCTACTTTTGAATTATTTGACACTAATTTTGTCATTTTCTCTTACTTCTGTGGCCTGTCTCCTCTCCCAGCCCTTCTCTTATTAAAAAGATTTCAATTCTTCCTGTGGTCTCAGTTAACATATACTTGTTGAGGCTTCCCAAATCAATTTGCTCCAATCCAAATCTCTAATGAGTTCCAGACCTATAGGCCCAATATCTCAGTATTTCCCTGGTCTCTCCAGTTCTTCAGATTTATATTAAAACTGTACTAATGAATTTGCCCTTCCTTCAAACCTACTCCATTTCCCATATGCCCTTTCTCAGTAAATGAAAACATCATCTACCCAGAAACTTCTCACTTTTGACTCAATTATGACAAGGATCTCTTAACTGGTTTACTGCTTCCATTCATGTAGTCCCTTCTGTAATCAATGATGTGTTGCTAAATGTTTAACAACAGAATCTCCAAGAAAGGGGGGAAGCCCTGATTCATAGCATTTGCCCTAATTCTATAATATAAATACTCCTACCCTGGCTGGTTTCAAACTACCAACATGACATCACTGATTATAAAGTTGGGAAGAAATGTGTAGTATATAGCATTTATACCATACAGATACAACAGACATAAATAGTTTTAAGAATATAGATAATACTAAAATAATTAGGAAGCAATGGGTTTTTAGTATTTATTACCTTTGTTTTTAAATTTGTTGCAAATTTACATAATTTAATTTTTGTTTTTTTGTTTTGTTTTTGTGGTACGTGCCCCTAGCAGGAACCAAACCCAGGACTCTCTCGTCCGTAGGCCGACGCTCAACCGCTGAGCCAAACTGGCCAGGGCACATAATTTAATTTTAATAATGGCTGTATTTAATAGCCAGTTAAAACATTTTCTGTAAACAATCAGCTCTCTAAATTAGGACTTATAATGGCTTATTAATGTAATTTTGGATAAAGTTCAAAATTACTCTTTGACTTAGAAAGCTCTCTGGCATCATTTCATGTCATAACACTTCACTATTCCCATGCTAATTCCCCTAGCTAATTCCTACTGTCCTAGAACAACCTGACTAGATTGGCTCTTCCTGTTTTATGGTTCCACTTGACGTTGCACTTACCCTTTATAACACTCATGACACTTGAATTACTTTTATAATAACGAATAGCATTTATTTAGTATTTACCATAAACTGTGCACTGGACTAAGCATTTATTCACATTGTCTTATTTAATCCCTAGAACCACACTAGATAGCATCACAATGGTGCCATCATAAATAATAAAACTAAGGCCTAGAAAGGTTGCATAACTTGCCTAAAGTTAACTATCATGTAAAGGAAGCAAGTTTGACACCCTGATGTGACTTAAGAGACAGTGTTCTCAGCCATTCTTTTCTACTGCATTAAGCTATTCAATTCTCTATCTTCCCCATTACAGTATATCCTCAATAGAAGATAAATACCATAAAAGTAGGTTGGTTTTGTTTACCACCATGTGTTCAGTGCTTGGGACAGTCCCTAGGACAGTGCTTGGAATATAAGAGGCATTCAGCCATTTATTAAAGACCCAAACAAAATAGCATTGTCTAAAATACTGAATGATTGTCCTGGTCAGTTTGGTTCAGCGGTTAGAGCTTCGGCTCATAGATCAATGAGTTGCAGGTTCGATTCTGGTCAAGGGCACATACCTCAGTTGTGATCGTTCCCGGCCCTGGTCAGGTCATGCAGGAGGCAGCCAGTCCATGTGACTCTATCATGTCAATGTTTCTCTCTGTCTCCCTCCTTCCTACTCTATCTGATAATATAAGTAGAACTCTGTCCTTGGGTAAGGAATAAAGAAAAGATAAAAAAGCGAGTGATTTTTCCAGAACATCTGATGTTTCTGAAAGCCTTGTTCTATTATGGTGTAGACAGCCCAGTCCGGTGTGGCTCAGTAGGTTGAGCATCGTCCGATGGACTGAGAGGTCCCAGTTCGATTCCCGGTCAGGGCACATGCCCAGGTTGCTGGCTCAATACCCAGTAGGGAGCATGTTTCTCTCTCTCTCTCTTTCTCTCTCTCCCCCTAAAAAGTCAATATAAAAAAAAATATTTGGGAAAAAAAAAAAAAAAGAAGCCATATTATGGTGTAGACAAACATATCCATCTGTTACCACTATGTTATTTTTTAAATACTTACAGGATGATATATTATTATTTAAATTCAACTATGGGCTAATACACCTTTTGAATATACTAAGAAAAACCAATAACACATGCAAAGCATGATTATGGTTGATGCTGTATAAAACCATTATCCAAAATCAAATATAAAATAGTTGATTATTTTTATTCTTCTATTTAAACACAGATAATTAGCCATGGCCAGTTTGGCTCAGCGGTTGGAGCTTGGCCTGCGGACCAGAGAGTCCTGGGTTTGGTTCCCGCCAGGCGCACGTACAAAAAAAGAGAGAAAATAAAAAATAAACACAGATAACTGAAGATTATTTAGTAATGCTAAACTAACCCCATTGATTCATTTATTTATTGATTCACTCAGGAAAGTTCATTGAGTGCTTAATAGGATAAAGTAGTGGAAAAACAGTTCATAGCCTGGAGAAACTTATGATCTAGTGGTGGAGATAGAAAAGCAAGCAATTAGCCCTGGCCGGTGTGGCTCAGTTCGTTGGAGAGTCATCCCATACCCTGAAAGGTGATGGGTTCAGTGCCCAATTGGGGTGTGCACAGGAGGCAACTGATCCATATTTCTTTCTTGCTCTCTCCACCCCCCACCCCCTAGGAAAAGCAAGCAATTAGAATACAGTGATGTTAGTTCTGTAACATATAGGAACATCTAACCTAAATTTCTGATCATGAAAAATTTTTTTAGGAAGATGGGATTCCTAAATTGAGTCTTGAAGGAAATAAAATTTGGTCAAGTTAAGGTTCAATCCAAGGCACTGATTTCATAATTAGGGAACTAGTTGTAAAAAACTAAAAAAAAAAAGCCCTAGCCAAGTTAGTTGGACATTATCCCATGCTCCAGGAAGTTGCCAGTTTGATTCCCAGTCAGGGCACATGCCCAGGTTTGCCTCCTCAATCCCCAGTAGGGTGTGTGCAGGAGGCAGCCCACAAATGTTTCTCTTTCTCATCAATCTCTCTCTAAAAATCAATTTTAAAAATATTTTAAAAGGCCAAGAAAAAAAGGTTAAATATCTGAAAAGACAGCCTTCATATTTCTGAAGAGTCTTATACAAATGATAATCCAATGATAGTTTTTCTCTTATAAGTTCTGAGGCCTCAACAAGAATAAATTCATACATTTAGTGTTTATAAACAAAAGCTTGATTTTTTTTTTTTTTTAGCTTAAGGCACATGCAATATTTCCAAACTATTAAATATAGGTAGCGAGATCTTTGAAATACATTTTATTAAAAGGCAGGGGGTAAGCAGAGTAAATACATTCTTCATCAGAAGTGTCTAATAAAATAGAAAAAAAAAAAAACATGTATATTAAAACATGAACTGTAGAGTGACATACAAATGCTAATTTTCAGATCAGGATATATTTGGGGTTGAGGGGATAGGGACAGGAGGCTGAAGGGTATTTACCAATAAATCTGGGCTTTCATTTCTTTGTGCCCCTCATTGCTGGTAATTTGATCAACCCTCTGATGTCTGACATAGCTGAAGTTGTTACCTAGTGAAGCTTCATTTAGGGAAAATGAGCCACATGATCTAACATAAATTGTTCTTTTTGTTATTGTTAATCCTCACCTGAGGATATCTTTCCATTAATTTTCAGATAGAATGGAAGGGAGGGAGGGAGGGAGAGAGAAACATGGATGTGAGATAGACACACTGATCAGTAAACCTGCAACCCAAGTACGAGCCCTTAACAGAATCAAACCTGAGACCCTTTGGTCCAGAGGCTAGTGCTCCAACCTCTGAGCCAAACTGGCCAGGGCATGAATCGTTCTTTTTAAAAAAAAAAAAATTTTTTGTTTTTATCCTCACCCGAGGACATTTTTCGATATTTTGTTCAGATAGAGTGAGAGGGAGAGAGAGAGAGAGAAACATCGACGTGAAAGCGACACATCGAGTGGTTGCCACCCACACGACCCAACCAGGGCCAGGGAGAAACTGCAACCGAGGTACGTGCCCTTAGCGGGAACCGAACCCGGGTCTCTCTGGACCGCAGGCCGACGCTCCAACCGCTGAGCCAAACCGGCCAGGGCTGAATCGTTCTTTTTAAATACTACTCAGTTCAGCCCTGGCCGGTTTGGCTCAGAGGTTAGAGCATCGGCCTGCGGTCCAGAGAGACCCGGGTTCGGTTCCTGCTAAGGGCACGTACCTCGGTTGCAGTTTGTCCCCGGCCCTGGCTGGGTCGTGCGGGAGGCAGCCACTCGATGTGTCCCTTTCACATCGATGTTTCTCTCTCTTTCTCCCACTCTATCTGAACAAAAAACAGAAAAATGTCTTCGAGTGAGGATCAAAAAAAAAAACAACACTACTCAGTTCATAATTAATACTTAAAGGATAAGGTAATCAAACTAAAGAAGAGTTGAACTCAAAGTTGTTACATCTGAGTGTTGATTCTTATGTTTCCAAGTCAGTCAACAGTTACCACTAAAATTTTTAGACAACCCCTTATATTTTTCTCTTCCTTAATTGGGTACATATTAGTATATTTTATATTTGAAATAAATATGAGAGGAAAAACTGCTGCTGGGCTTGTCAGCAGCATTTTACTTTTTGTAATAATTTTGCATAGCTTAAGAGTTCATTTTTTAAAAATATATGCTGTTGCCCAGCCAGTGTGGCTCAGCAGTTGGAGCGTTGGCCTGTGGACCAGAGTCACGGGTTTGGTTCCCGCTAGGGGCACGTACAAAAAAAAAAAGCAGCAGCAGCAGCAGCAGCATTTTTTAAAAACATATGCTGTTGCCCGGCCGGCATGGCTCAGTGATTGAGTGTCGACCCATGCACCAAGAGGTCGCCAGTTTGATTCCCAGTCAGGGATGCCCAGGTTGTGGGCCCAATCCCCAGTGAGGGGCATGCAGGAGGCCGCTAATCAATGTTCTCGTTGATCGATGTTTCTACCTCTCTCTCCCTCTCCCTTCTTCTCTCTCTAAAATCAATAAAGAAAAAAATAATAAAAAATAAAATATGCTGTTGCCCTGGCCAATTTGGCTCCGTGGTTGGAGCATAAGTGTCTTGGATTCAACTCTTGGTCAAGGGCATGTACCTCAGTTGCAGGTTCGATCCCTGGCCCCAGTCAGGGCTGTCAGGAAGACAACCAATTGATGTGTCTCTCTTACATGGATGTTTCTGTTTCTCTCTCTCTCTCTCTCTCTCTCTCTCTCTCTCTCTCTCTCCCCTCTCCCTTTCTCCCTCCCCCTCCCTCTCCTTCCCTTCTGTCCTATCTAGAAGATCAATGGAAAAATAACCTCGTATGAGGATTAACAATAAATAAATTAATATATATGCTGTTTAATTAGAAGTAATACAAGGAGTTATTAATTTACATATTCTGTCTCATTTTTGTTAAGCAAATTTTTGTTGAGTCCTTTCTGTTTTCAAGGCACTGTACTAAGTGTTAAAGATAAAGAGATAAAAATATACAATGGTTCCTGTCCTCAGGAACATAATCTACTTTTGTTTCAGTGAAAAATTATTAAAATGGAAAAATTAGAAAACTGGTAGGTGTCATAATGAAAGAACACAGAGGAAGGAATACCAGAATCTATTTAAGCTTTCCTTGATAAAATTTAATCTGTAGATAATTTGATTTGTCTTGACCATGTATATCAGCAGCAGATGTATGCAATGTGAAGTTACTCCTGCTTATAAGATTCTATGTAAGCTTGATCTAGATCAGTTCAGTCTTTTTTTTTTTTTTAAGAAAGAGAGAGGGAGAGAGAGAGAAACATCAATGTGTTGTTCCACTTATTTATGCATTCATTGGTTGATTCTTGTGCCCTGACTGGGGAATGAACCTGCAACCTCGGCATATCGGGATGACACACTCTAACCAACTGAACTACCCTGCCAGGGCCAAGATAAGTTTAGTCTGGTTTACTTTTTACCACCCATATTTAAGGACTAGAGTAGAAAGAAAGATCTCTTTGTAAAGCCCTGAAAAATAGAACCACTCAAGTCCGGTTTTTATTAATTTTTTACAACATATAAAAATTAGCATTAATTGGTTTCTATTCCAGTGTCTGGATATTGGAAATTTAAATTTTTTTATGTAAATTGAAGACACTTTAAATCATCACCACTTAAAATTTAATCATTTAGGTATAACCAGCAATATGAGAGTTGGGATTTGAGTTGCCTTTTTTTTTTTTTTTAAGGTTTCCTTTGGATCCTAAAAGAAGAAAAGAATGGGTTCGCCTGGTTAGGCGCAAAAATTTTGTGCCAGGAAAACACACTTTTCTTTGTTCAAAGCACTTTGAAGCCTCCTGTTTTGACTTAACAGGACAAACTCGACGACTTAAAATGGATGCTGTTCCAACCATTTTTGATTTTTGTACCCATATAAAATCTATGGTAGGTAATGTTGCTTTTTTTTAACCCTATTTTTAGAACTTGTTCCTTTTTGTTTATAAAATGGAACAATTTAGATTATATTGAAATTCATATACGATTATATGCCTCAAGAAAATTGCAGAATTTCCTCTTGTGCAGTAAAGGTGCAGGCTAGAATTAGAGCTCAGGTCTCCTGACTTCAGTATTCGTTCCCTGATCCAAATTGTTTTCTTACACTGGAATTTTACTTTACTACCAATAATTATTAATAATAATTGATAATAACTGAACCATTAGTAAAACTGATAAATCATGAGTAATGAAACATCTAGCATCACTCTGCTCTGATTTTAAGATATACAAAATGTGTGTGCTAAGTTCTTTAAGAGCACTACACCCAAAGAATACCAGAGCTTATATCAAAGAATATAAGTTCAGAGAAAAGTATAACAGGAAACTTCACAGAGCTCAGGCATTTAGGCGGGGTTGGAGTTTGGAGTTTGGAATTTAGGAGAGGGTTCTTGACGCAGCATAGAACAATTGCAATAGCATGATGAGAACAAAAGCTAATGGGTTGAGGGGTGAACGCAAAATAAGCAAATGTTATGAAATGCATTTTTTTTTTTTTTTTGGTCCGCGGGTTTACACTCTAACTGCAGAGCCAAAACGGCCAGGGCTCACCAAGTGCTATTTAAAAGGAAGAAAAGAATTAAGGTACAGGATGAATGTATTAAAAACAGTATTTCTGTAGCTAGGGAAGATCAGATCAGAGAGGAAAAAGCTAACTGAGAAAGACCGGGTCACCAAAAAAGGGTAGAATGAACAAAAATAGAGAGTTTAACTTTGAAAAGGAGGATAGGCATCTTTTCTCAAAGGAAAAACCGCTTCTTATTTGTGACCAATAAATTTGCAAATGTACATGACTCCCATATCTGAATGGGAGAGGAGATTGTGGTAAACTAGCTATCACAGATACTAGAAAAGCTCCAGCAGGGCAAGAACTTTTGTCTTTTTCAGTTCTGAATCCTCAGCAACTCATAGTACCTGGTACGTAGTATACACTCAAATATTTATTGAATTTGAAGTATACCTTACTTTTGACATTTTGATCATTCATTCAACAAGTATTGACTAAACTTTACATTATGTGAGAATCTAAGTCAGATGCTGAGGATATAAAGATAAAAAAAGAGTCCCTGCCAACTCCCCTAGGCAGAGGGAATGCTAGTTGTAGGTTTTGTGAGGACAAGAACCATATTTGTCTAATTTGTTCACTATTGTGCCTCCAAGAATTCATGAATAAATTCCTATGTGTTGCAATAACTGTTGAATGAATGAAATACACAAAGTTATGAGGTTATGATGAAATCTGGGAACTACAAGTGGTTTAGTATTGCTAGAGTCTAAATCTAGATCATGAGTGACAGAATGGGGTGAAATCCTAAATGGTATAGAATGCCATGTAAAGATTTCTTTTTCTTTAGATAATGGGGAGGCAAAGAGGAATTCAGCCAGTCTAGAAACATCAAATCTGGTAGAAAAATTTTTCTGGTGGCAGACTATGGATCAGTGAGGATCAAAATGAGGTGGGAATCAATAAACAAATTTTTAGCATATTCAAGCTAGATATGATATAGGCCTGATGTGGGCAGTAGCATTAAGAATGCTAGAGAAGAGATGATTCATAATAGAGATATTTAGGATGTAGGATTAATAGGATTTGATGGCTAATTAAATGAAAGCAATAAAGGAAAAAAGGGTCCTCAGGTTTCTGATTTGGACATTTTCTGCCCACATTTGAAATCCTCGAATGGAAGCTGTAACTGAACAATTAATAAGTAAATCTATTCAGGAGCTTAATACTTGGGAATATATTCTTATTAAGTAGGACCTGAGGTCTGCAATTTTAACCAATTGAGAAATTAGTGTTTACCTAAAAAAGATCAAATCAGTATCACATAAACCAAATGTCTAAATACATTATATTGGCCTTAGTGAGAAAATTGCAAAGGATATTTAAAATCTCCATAAAATCATAATTTAGAAGAGACCTTGGAAGTCCATTGTCTGTTTCCAAACCAATGTTTGTGTCTCTTCGTAGGGGGAAAACAAAAAGATATAGTTGGCTGGAATTAATTCAGCCAGTTGAGAAACTTGAATCAATGATTACATGAGATGGAGTACTGATGTTTCTATCTTTTCAAATCAGTTTTTAAAAGAGCAATTTAAATGCTGTTTTATAAACCTGGACAACATTTATTTATGATATTGCATAACTTATGTACAACCCTCTAATTTTATTTGGCCCAGAAACTCAAGTCGCGGAATCTTTTGAAGAAAAACAACAGTTGTACTCCAACTGGACCATCTAACTTAAAATCAAACATTAGTAGTCAGCAAGTACTACTTGAACACAGTTATGCCTTTAGGAATCCTATGGAGGCAAAAAAGAGGATAATTAAACTGGAAAAAGAAATAGCAAGTTTAAGAAGGAAAATGAAAACTTGCCTACAAAAAGAACGCAGAGCAACTCGAAGATGGATTAAAGCCACTTGCTTGGTGAAGAATCTAGAAGCAAATAACATATTACCTAAGGGCACATCCGAACACATTTTACCGCCTTAAGCAGTCTTCCTTTGGAGGATTTCAAGATTCTTGAACAAGACCAACAAGATAAAACGTTACCAATTCTCTAAATCTAAAACATATCAAGAGTACTTTCATTCAAGATTAGCCTGCATAGATCTTGATACCCATCCCTTATTCTATTCAAAGGTAACGATATTTAAAGAAATAATGCCAAAATTGTGTATTTAATAAAGTTTTACTTGAAGTAACATTATTACTGTATAACTTATGAAGACTTGATTACAAAAAAAATGGAAAACTTTATGAAACTTGTTTGGAAAAGCATGGAAGTGCCTTACATGAGAATTACATACCTAAACATTTTGCTAGGAAATTTTGCAAGATGTGTTGTGTTTTTGCCTTTTTAAACAACTTTTAAAGAACAGTGTATGATAAGTAATGTATTTCATTTATTTTAGAAAAAAATGTTTTTATGTACCAAAGTTGAGACCTTATATTCTAAGTAAGACATTAAGTAGGAGTTAACCAACGTTAAATATGACTTTAAAACTGCTGGGTTCTTTTGTATTAATTAAATTATTATTGACACTGTGACTTGGAACCTTTACAGAAAGAAGCCTGAGGTACAGGGCAAGTTCTTTTATTTAAACTTTCTGTATCTTTTTTACAGTAAAAATGAGCTCATCATGACCTTCATAAGAATATTATCTTTCAAAATGGACTGTAAAATATATTGAAAATATTTTTGAATGTAAAGTAACCTTGAGTCATCCAAGTTAGTAAGGCCTCAAGTACCTCAGACAAGTAAAATCTGTTAGCTGATTATATTAACCTCCTAAGAAAATATGTTGTGAAATAATGCAAAGATCGGAATCTAGCTTTTACCTTATTAAACAAAAAGATAACTATATACTGTACTACTGTTTTACTCAAAATAAAAACAATACATTTTTTATTTCAAAATTGATGCATTAATAAACAAATATTCACCCTGGTGAGTTTGGCTCAGCAGTTAAGAGTGTCAGCTGGTGGACTGAAGGGTCAAGGGCATATACCTGGTTCCATCCATGTTAGGAAACTCCCTCTGCCTGCATGTGTGTTGATAACAAAACTTTTAAGCTTTTTTCCCCTACAAACCTACAGAATTTAATCATAAAACTGTACCTACCATATTATAGCTTTAAAATTTATAACTTAAAATGGAATCAATTTATCTTACATATCAGATGGCTTTTTATCTCCTTTCTTAGTGAGAGTAGAATAGAACAACTGTACTCCACATGGGAAATAAAATGTAGTTCTCTACAAAAATACGTGTGTCCGTGAGTAAAGTTCTGCTCTCCAACTGCTAATTACTTTACAAAATAAGGGTATCGGAACTATTCTTAACGTTGCCACTTGAACAAGTAAAGAGTTTGCCTTACTTCACCAGATAAATGTTTAATAAGAACACTTTTCCTTCACATATTTTTGATCAAATCATTCAAAAATTTATTGATGTATAATGAAGTTATTCAATCCTGATTCAAGCTTTCTGATACCACCATATGAAATTAATATACACCTAATCATAAATTGCTGTAAATCTTTCCTCTAAGGTAAATGCTATTTGATTTAAAAAAAAAAAAAAACTTTGCCAACTTTAGATCGCTGGTTTTTCTTTTAATTTATTGATTTGAGAGAGTGAGATTGATATGTTATTCCACTTATTTATGCATTCATTTATTGATTCTTCTATGTGCCTGACTGGGGATCAAACCTGAAACCTTGGCATAACAGAACGACACTCAACCAGCTGACCTACCCAGCCAGGGCTTAGATAGTTGTTTTGCTTGGATTCTAGCAACAGTCTTTTTACATTATGTGCACCCTCTTTTAATAAGGAATGCCTCCCAAGCAACTAGATTTCACAAAGGCAAAGGTTGGAAAAGTCTGTTTTAATTATAAGGCACTTACAACAAATATTTATGAAAATCCTTTTGTGTATACAGGGTGGGCAAATGTAGGTTTACAGTTGTGAGTATGAGAAACAGAGTTTATCCTTCTATTATTTATTAATTATTGTATTATTTCCCATATGAACAACTGTAAACCTTTTGCCCCACCCTGTATTGTAAACCTTGTTAGTCTTTTTATCTTAAATGTTAAATTTAGCTCCTTGGAATTGTCATTACATGGTGGTTTTTGTTTTTGTTTTCTAATATGGTTTCAAATTATCTTTTTACCAATACCTAGTCATAATCATCAGCAAACACTTACTGACCATATCTACTTTATACCTCAAGTTAGGCAAATAATCATTTAAACAAAAAAATAAATAAACATAAACAGTGTTTTCCAAATAGACTCTCATGTGGTTCACCACTCCTCCTCGATACAAAGCAAAACACTAATTAATGTAGTCTGATTCCCATCTACAATAATATGTTGATATCTTAATATAACATTTTAAAAATCACAAAAATAGAACATTATGAACTACAACAAGCTTTTGGCAGTTACTTAATCTTCATTATTATTTGAGACCACTGAATAAACTACCCTACCACTCAGTAATTTTAAAGTAAAAAATTTTTGGTATTTTCCCTATGTCATTTTCATGTTACTGTCCTGATAACATATTCCAAAATCACTGCATCAAATCTTTTCATTAACATACTTCTATCTACCTTAAAATTAGTTTCATTCATAGAAAAAAAAAAACTAAAAAGAATCTTAAAATCCTGGTTTTAGTTTGTTGATAAACTTCTCGTCACTTTGACCCTATACTATAAAACTAATTAAAATTATAGTAACTCTTTGTCCTCTGCAGGTTGTAACACAAATCCTCTGGTCATTCATTCAATGCCTACTTCGGCACTAACCTCTACAGAGAATCAGCCAAAGGCTAGTAACTTGACATAAAGATGAATCTAACTCGATTTTCTACCCTTAAGTTGCTCAAAGTCTCCTGAGAGGAAAAAAATATTTATCATACAATGTGATAAGAACTATAAAATACATATGTGTGAAGTGCTTTGGTAAATGGTGTTTAATTGGAATTTAGTGAGAACATAAACTTTAGACCTTCTTATAATGAAATACTTTTCTTTTGAAATAGATTTTTCATGACAACTAAGGGAAGTAAAAGGACACTGATGTTGACCTGAATTACATGGTGTTTTGTTAATGAGTTGTAAGACAGTTCTCCCTTTAAAACGAACACTAAACAAATTTTTCACTAATGGTATCTTTATTAACAGGAAAATATAACTAAAAACACTATATCAAAGCCAAGTACTGAAGTTTATTTGACATTTTATATTTTTACGAAATAACAAACCCTACTAAATCAGTCTTAACGTTAACAAAGCACTATGGCACCCATTTGTTCTCCTGTTTTTTACATATCTGTGTGGTCGGTGATATCTCCAATTTACAGCTAAAGAAATCTGTGATGATGTAATTTATTTATTCATTCAGACATTTACTGTGTGCCACTGGCACAAGGGATAGAATACTAGTAATCTAGAAAGTCTCAAATTGAACATTGATCTCCAGCCTCCAAATCTTCTATTCTGCCCACCACATTATAACCCTCTGTTAAGTATGTAAATCATTAAAATAGGCTAAGTCATGTGTCCCAAAAAACTTAAAAATAGTCTATGAAGTCATTATTGATCTTTTCTAGGTAGACTTTATAATGTTGGTATTTTATCTCATTTATCGATGTTAGAATACGGGTAAATTTTAATTTTGGTATAATATATAGAAAATGGTTCAACTTTATGCCAGAATATGGGATTCCTTTGGTATTTAGACAGTTGGAAACTTTCTAAAATTAATGATTTTATAATGTATATTGAACAATTGCATATTGTATTCACAAAAATTGTATTCTGAGTATGTTGATATTAAAAATGTTTTTCCAAGGACATTACTATCATGCCTATTATTTTCCAAAACGTACATGAACATTTCTGTGGAAGTCCTTCCCTTAAATTGACCCTCTGAGATACTTCTGTAGAAGTTCTTCTCCCTATATTGAAGCAATCTGTAAATAAAATAAAGATATGTAAAGCCTGGAAGAGGAATTAACATTATCATTTTCGTTGCTCAATTTATACCTAACCATCCATTATAGTTTATTTGCACTTTTAAATACTGGTTATGCAATCTAACCAGTTGTGCAGATATACCAAGCACTAAAAATTCTGTCTATCCTGACAACAATTTGAGGCTAACAAAAAGGTTTATTTGTAGATATTATTATCAAAGCATTATTTTTTTAAAATAATTTTTTTTCTTTATTGATTTTAGAGCGAGAGGAAGAAGGAAGAGGGAGAGAGAGATAGAAACATCAATGAGTGAGAACATCGATTGGCCGCCTCCTGCATGCCCCCCACTGGGGATCGGGCCCACAACCTGGGCATGTGCCCTGACCGGAAATCGAACTGGTGACCTTTTGGTGCATGGGTCGATGCTCAACCACTGAGCCATAATGGCCGGGCTCAAAGCATTATTTTAATAAAAAAAAATATAAGAGTGATTTTTCTTAATTTTTGTCTGATTACAATAATACTTTAATTCAAAACATTCTATCTTGCCCTGGCCGGTTTGGCTCAGCGGTTAGAGCGTCGGCCTGCGGTCCTGAGAGACCCGGGTTCGGTTCCCGCTAAGGGCATGTACCTCGGTTGCAGTTTGTCCCCGGCCCTGGTTGGTCGTGCGGGTGGCAGCCACTCGATGTGTCCCTTTCACGTCGATGTTTCTCTCTCTCTCTCTCTGTTCCTCTCTCTCCCTCCCACTCTACCTGAACAAAAAATGGAAAAATGTCCTCGGGTGAGGATAAAAAAAACAAACAACAAAAAAAAACATTCTATCTTAACACTCATTAAGAGACACTGAGGCCCTGGCCAGTTTGGCTCAGCGGTTAGAGCATCGGCCTGCGGTCCAGAGAGACCCAGGTTCAGTTCCCACTAAGGTGCATACCTCCGTTGCAGTTCATCCCTGCCCCTGGTTGGTCGTGCGGGTGGCAGCCACTCAATGTGTCCCTTTCATGTCGATGTTTCTCTCTCTCTCTTCCTCTCTCTCCCTCCCACTCTGTCTGAACAAAAAAATGTCCTCGGGTGAGGCTAAAAAAAATTTTTTTTTGAAGAGACACTGAACAAACTAGAATGAGCTAGACAGACATGGTCACTGTCCTCAAGGCTACTGGGGAAAAAATACTCCATTTGTTTATTCCTACCCTCACTGTTCCATACCCTCTTCCTAATGCCCTTTTAGAATGAGTTGACTCTAATTCAACATAGGTCCTCAATATTATGCCTAGGCTTTTAAAATTTGTGCTCACAGACTTTTTAAAAAACTTGTATTTCATGTCAAGAAAGCAGATATGAGCCTATCAAATTAATTTTCAGTTTAATTATTTAGATTTCAAAATTTAACTCATTTCTATTCTTGTGAACTTCCTATTTTCATGCTCTTCTTAACCACCAAATCTTTACAGATTGCCTTTCACTTATCTTAGTAACAACAAACTCCTTATCATACTTCAAGTCTTAGCTCTGACACTCCCTCTCTGATACCTTCAAAACAGCGATTTTTAACCTTTTCATCTCATGGCACACATTAATTACTAAAGTTCTGCAGCACATCAAAAAGTATATTTTTTTGCTGATCTGACAAAAAAATAGGTATAATTTTGATTAATTCACACCCAGAAAGCTGTTGTGTCAGCTGTTGTCATGTTTTTTACAATTTGAGGTAAAAAAGGTTAGTGCCCCTAAATAAACAGTCAGCTACTGCGTGTTTTAAATAATTCTTGCAGTGCATGGGTTGAAAATTGGTGCCTTACCATACCAAAGTGACATAAGTGCTTTCCTCCTTGAGTTCTGTTTTATACATAACTTGGATAAAGTCCTATTACTATAATTTTCATCTTCTATGTTTCTTCAATCAATGTATATAGGTGTTTTGTTTTGTTTTTCTTTTTGGTTCTGATATGTATATATTAGGCATTCAAATATTAAATTTCAGAAAATCTAAACCACTCCTTTGGCTTAGATTCAAAGGGATTGTACACAGAATCCACTGACAATTCCTGGCAATGGTGCTTTTTTGCCATTGGGCTGATTTTTATCCTTGGTGTTAAGTACCAAATGTCTATCCCAGAAAAACACAAACTTGTTTATGTCAAAGAATAAACAAATAGGTATTTATATTGTGACATGTAAAGGTTATTAATGCAACAATGAACTTTCCCTCTGATTACTATAGAAGTTCTCAAACTCATGTTTTCTGAGGGAAAGGAATGAATCTGGTAAAATAATTAACTGTCGGGAAGATTTAAACAAAGATGTTCAGATTCTTCTCAGAGCCTTTAACAACACATTCTCACAGTTCTGTGAGTATACAAAATTTTTAAATTTTATCAGATGGGTGGGGAATAGGGGTCGAGGGTGGCATACTATTGAGGAATATATAGTTTAAGAAATGCTTAACCAGAAATTCTCTGTTGCTAGAAAATGCCTTTATTTATTTATTTATATTTTTTATCCTCACCCAAGGACATTTTTTCCCCATTTTTGTTCAGTTAGAGTGGGAGGGAGAGACAGGAAGAGACAGAGAGAGAAACATGATGTGAAAGGGACACACGGAGTGCGTCCTCTGGCAGGACCCAGCCAGGGCGGAGGAACGGCAGCCCAGGTACCGCCCTTGACAGAACCCAAGGGGGGACTCATTGGTCCGTGGGCAATGCTCAAACCGCTGAGCCAAACCGGCCAGGAATAGAAAATGGCCTTTAAAGTAAATTGAAAAAGGTTTTGTTAAAAATTTTTAAGATTGTTAAAGTGTATAAAAAAAAATTTTTTTTTAATGTATTTTTGACACTATTACAGGTGTCCCCGATGCCCCCGCCCTTACTCCCCTCCACCCAGCCCCGTGCCCCTCCCTCTGGCCATCACCACAAAACTTTTTTTTTTAAAGAATAGTATATCTTACCTACATTAACTTGCCCAAATTGTTTCAGCCTTAAGCTAAAATCACTTGTCCATGGAAAACAGCAGCAATAATTGGACACTTGTTTTAAATTATTTTCTCCGTCATAAAATTCCGTGTTTACAACACAATATATGCTCCCCCCACCAAAAATCCATATTTCATCAACTCATAGATGAAAACAGTATTTTAATACTATGCTTGCAATGGATTTACTGGGTCTAATTTCACCTCCATTCTTTTATTGTTACTACCCAGGTGGTGGTTCCACTTTTCGGCGTCTCCCGGCGTCCTCAAACATAAGGACGCAAGATTCCCGACAGCAAGCTCGAGCGAGGGGCACTACAAACTCTCACATCCCGGCGGCACCGGTTCCCCGGCAGGTCCCACCGAAGCGCACGCCCTTGGAGCCACCCTCTAGCCGCCCACGTGACCGAGGCGACGCCCTCGGGCGGCCACGGCGCCTGCGCGCAGACGGGGAGCTGCTAAGCTCCAGGCCTCTGGACTGTGGCCGGCTGGACCTGGACTCAGGCGGCACGGGTGGCCGTCAGACCGTGGCCGCTCTCGGTCACGCCGGAGTAGCTGCCGGAACTCGTCGGGGTTCCGACACCATAGCCGTATCCTGCCATTTTTCACTCACTGACCTGCGGGCGCGGGCACGTGGGCGGGCGGTGGGGGACGGAGCTCGCCATCCCCGAGACCGCCGATTGGCTGCGTCTGTTTTCCTTCCCCTTCCTGGCTGGGGCTTTCTGGTGCACGTGACTGCAGCGGGCTCTCCGAGGGGAGACACTTTGTTTTAGTAATGCAGCGTTAATCTAGCCGGAAGAGCTCTCGATCAGCGACAGTTTCCAGAAATAGTTTGGGTTTATATTATTTTTTTGATAGGTAGAAAATGTTGGCATTCCACGCAAGTATTTTACTGGCGACTTAAGTGACTATTTTTCTCGGAAATGCTGTATATTTTCTCACCCAGTTGCTCATATCCTTATTTTTCATGACATATCTTGATGACAATCTATGCAAAAAATATATAAGGATGATAACTAATATAGTTATATTGAGCCTGGTCATTTGCATTTCTTTAGCTTTCTGGATTATATCTATGACTGCAAGCACCTATTATGGTAAGTATGAATGTTCTGAGTTCTTTTTTAAATAAACTTAATTGGTGGAATTTAAAAGTGTACTGTTGTGAAATCCAAAACTTATATCCTCTGAATGGTTATGAATTGTGTTTACTTAACTTCTACAGCCTGGATTTAATGTACCAGAAAATATAAACAGTGCCTTTAACGTTCTAAGCCCTTTAATACATGTTGTTTGTGATAATATTAGTTACACATATTTCAGAATATGTTTTATGTAATTATTACATCTATCTTGGTGAGAAATAACTAAAGCATAGTTTTGTAAAGCACTTGCAGTGATACTTTTAATAAGAATATTCATCCCCGGCTGGTGTACCAAGAGGTCACCAGTTCGATGGGTCAAGGCACATGCCCAGATTGTAAGACTGATACCCAGTGTGGGGCATGCAGAAGGTGGCCAATGTTCTCTCTTATCGATGTTTCTGTCTCTCTCTCCCTCTCCATTCCTCTCTCTCTAAAAATCAATAAAGAAAAAAATCGTTTAAATAATAATCATAACATAGTTTATCAGTTTAATTTGTACTGTAAAAATAAAAGGCAACATAGTGTTTATATTTAGAGGATTTGTCATTTCAAAAAGAACAGACTCCCTTTTAAAGTCTGAATCCACTTGGCATAAATAGGAGGTACTCCGGACTCAAGTCTACGGTTTTCAATCTGCTTTAGAGCATAATGTGCCTTTACACAATCTTCCTTGGTACCCCTATAAAAATAAAATACTGTTCAAGGAGAAAAGTGAGAAATAGAGTGAGAGAAACTCATAAATGATTATATTGTCTTTTTCAAAGACAGGTGAATAATCTAATGGATGATTTCCAGGGTACAGAAGCTTTCAGGGCTGTTCGTCATGAGCCACAGTAGGGGATGAAGGTTTGGGGAGGAGAGGTATAGAAGATTCTCCCTAATGCCAGTATTAACTTTGACGAATTCACAATAAACCAGGATTTGTAAATTGAAGGGCTCTCTGGGGCCAGGCACCTGACTTAAATGAGTGAAGCTGTCCCAGATCTTTGTATAGTAAACACAAGGGAATAGTTTTCCCTTTTAGAAATAGGATTCAGCCCTGGCCAGTTTGGCTCAGCAGTTAGAGCGTCCACCTGTGGTCCAGAGAGACCCAGGTTCGGTTTCTGCTAAGGGCATGTACCTCAGTTTGTCCCCGGCCCTGGTTGGTTGTGTGGGTGGCAGCCACTGGATGTGTTCCCTTCACATTGATGTTTCTCTCTCTCTCTCTCCCTCCCACTCTACCTGAACAAAAAATGGAAAAATGTCCCCGGGTGAGGATGAAAAAAAAAGAAATAGTATTCACATTTTCCTTTACTGTAGTCACTCAGCCTGGGTGTTGAGCAGTCTGTCAGGAAAGGCGGGCACTTCAAACTGGAAAACAGTGATCCGTGTAAAAGAGGCAGCTTCTCTTCACTTGTAGTCAGTTCTGCCACGTGTCCCAAGTTTCTAGTTTCTGAAAAAGAAGCCAAGATTTGAAATGTTGATTTGAAATCGAATCTTTAAATAGTAACTCATTATTTATTCTTTGAGTTTTTTTAATTTGTTTGTTTTTATCATAACTCAAATTGCTTAAAAACGTTATACTAGCCAAACACAACATCTATGAGCTGGATGCAATCTTTGGAGAAATCAGTTGCTAATCATTGAATACTGAGGTATGTATCATGTGAGAATGTTACTTAAAAAAAAAAATCTCTGAAAGGCAGAGAAAGGAATAATTGGATCCTGTTAAGAAAGGAGTTTGTTCTGTGCTATTCTTGATATTCAATACATGCCTCCTCTCCAAAAAAAACTAATTTCAAATCTCTAAATATGTGTGGAATACCCATTATTATAAACAGTTATAAATGGTTTCCAAAACTTGGACAGGTCTTACTTGGTTATTGCCAGTAGGATTGTCTCTCTGAAAATATGTAAGTCTCATCATAAATATTTTATCTGTTTCCCTATTTATGACAGTATTTTAATCCAGAATGCAGTTATCAATATTTACAGCCAAGACTAACCTATGCAGGCCTCACACAACTGACGCTCTACCTTTATAATTTTTCAGGTAATTTACATCCTATTTCTCCTTGGCGTTGGCTGTTTTCTGTTGTTGTTCCTGTTTTGATTGTATCTAATGGCTTTAAAAAGAAAAGTCTAGATCACAGTGGAGCTTTAGGAGGTATGTTTTGCCATTCAATGTTTAACCACATAAATGCTTGCTTATAAAATTTAAACTCATGTTTTATAAATTCTGAATATATGAGATTATAAATCACAATGTTATATATATTAGACAATAATAAAGTTATACATTGCTCAGCATTCCTATTCTGTCAAATTTTCAGATAGCAATATAACCTTTTAGAATAATGTACAAATTTAACTTTGTAATTTATATCAAGTAAATTAACAGAATAGACTTTTGAGGACCTTGATTACTCTGCTCCTTTAGTTGGATTAAATTATCTGCTAGCAGAAACATTGGAGCACTCTTCCTAGGTGTAAAATAAAGGAGCCTTTGGAAAAAATAGCTAATAGACATATTTATATTTTTATCTGAGTTTTGTCTTACCATATAATCAATAAGTATTAGAAATGGCTACATTTTATTTATTTTGTAAATATGATATTGTATATACCGTGTATCAGGCATTATTGTTAGCATTTTGGAAATATTAACCCTTTATACAGAATAATTTGAACAATTTCTGCTTAAATATAATAACAGAGTTATGCTTTTCTAAAAATATCCTTTCTCAGGTTGCCTTGCCTTGGTTTTTATTATTCTTGATCTATAGCAAGAAGGGTCAAGTCCCTGAAATTCTGTCTTCCTTTGGTTTCCATGTTGTATATTAATCTGCTTCTCTAATTTTTCTGATCTCTGTTTTATTTTTTCTGCTACCGTTTTCTTTTCTGCCTTCTAGCCCTATGACCTTTATTCCTCTCTACCTAGCCTGATTTAGAATTAGAAAATAAATATGTGAATCCTAGCACTGCCACCTGCTATCTCTCTGAACTTAGCCACATTGCCTAACTCCTCGAAGCCTCATTTTTCTTTATCTTTTGTGCAATAGGTCCTATGGGCTTATTGGTAAGACTAGAACAAGATAATGTGTGGAACAACATGTCTTGTAAAACTGCACAGCATTATACAAACATTCACTGTTACCGATTTATTATCTGCTTCCAACCATTTTGTAAAGTCCCTGAAGACAATGTATCTTAAGCTTCTATGTCCCATGTTTTTTTTAATAGTGTTACACACAATATAGGTGCTTAGGAAACATGTGGATTGATTTTAAAACCTCTTCTCTTTTCCTCATCATTTTATTCTTTGAAATGTTGGTATCTTTTTTGCTTGTTGTTTTTTTTCTCCCTTAAGAACAAAAAAATATAATGTTGATTTAAAGTATATCATAGTACTTGGAAATACCATTATGTAGTACTTAAACTTTCAGTGTTGTAATTTTCTCACCTGGAAAGAAGGAGGGCATAATTGTACCTTTAGCATTGACTTATCATGAGGAGTTATCCGTTGTAAATATTTAGCATAGTACCTGGCATGCATAATAAGTATTTTACAAATGTAAGTTGTTATTGTTTTTGTTCCACTACTACTACTCATAGTCAAAGGAATTTTACTAAGGTTTGTCATATTATGCCTTTACAATGCATAGGATTGAGAGGAGTTTCAGAACTTCTGCAGGATCTGGGTACTTAGAGTCCTTATTGACATAGGAACACATAGCTCAGTGTTGATAGAGGGAATGGAGGGGTTGAGGCAGTGCTTAAGGTGGACACTGAAGTGGAGGGCTGTGGTCTCCTTGAGAGAGTATTTCTAGAATATGAAGTAAATCACATGACAGGATATGTGGGATGAAGCACGGTACAGGTGATTTGTTCCAAAGAAATATTGTCTGTTCCAGTTATTCATCGTGTTCCTTTGAACATGTCAGTTTGGACAATTTGTCATCAGGCTTTTGACTTGACAAATTTAAATTTAATTTTGCTTGCCAAGACTATTAGCCTTAATGGTTTACTTTTTTTTTTTTAATCATTCAACAAATGTTTAGTGAGGGTTTCCTGTATGCCAGGCACTGTTCTGGGCACTTAGGATTTAGTAGTAAACGAAATGGATACAAATTCCACTGTCAGAGAGCTTACATTTGTAGTCAGGGGAAACATAAATACCATGGGTTTGAGGCATTTAATTCCTAGACAAAGACACCATAAGTGTAAAGGAAGTGCACAGCAAATGAGGTGGTGTCAGGAAAGGCCGGTGGTTGTGCTCCCAGTGGTCTCACAAAGGTGGCCTTAACCATTTTTTAGTCACCATGGTTCAGGTCTGGTGTTCAGTCTTTCCGAAATGGAAACCTCATTCTGTCAGGTGCCCAGAATTGATCGGAGCCAGGGAATCTGGTTTATATTGCTCATTGTCACAAGGGACTGACACATGAGCCAAAATGCAACTTTATTAACCTGATAAAATATGGAACTACCGGACTAACTGGAATATAAACATCCTTGTTCAGGCATGCCCTATTCTTGTAGTCAGGTTACTTGAGAAATCAGATTATAATTAGAAGGTTGCTTTGGTAAATACAAAGTCTGAGAAATACTAATGCAAGTCCATAGATCAAATGGTCTTGTTGCTTATATGGTGTTTGACAAATCTGACAACCACTGGTTCTTTAGGCTTCATTCGTGGCTGAAAGTTTTTGTGAAAGAAAGGGGTCATTGAGCCATATGTTAGCCAGTAAAAAGATCAGGTCCTGGGACATACAGTCTAAACCAAAACAGGGCATTATGGGCTTATTGGTGAGGAGAGCTCATGGGGCTTTTTAAACATGTATGTTGTTCTGACTATAGAAGGAGAGGATGAAGCAGGGGCAATTCTAGGATAGGTGAACAGTCCTTAAGGAAGAAATATTTACTACTTTTTTTTTATCCTCACCAGAGTATTTTTTTTTCCATTGGTTTTTAGAGAGTGGGAGGGAGGGAAGGAGGAAGGAAAGTGGGCAGGGGGATCTGGGGTAGGGGGCAGAGAGAGAGTGAGAGAGAAACATTGATATGAGAGACACATCAATTGGTTGCCTCCCACACTGCCCCATCCAGGGCCAGGGATTGAACCTGCAACCCAGGTATATGCCCTTGATCAGGAATTAAACCCGAGACCCTTCAGGGTGCAGGCCAACACTAACCACTGAGCAACACCAGCCAAGGCAATATTTACTCCTTTGCTTGGTTGTAGGCAACAGTCTGGAAAGTTCATGCATATAAGCAGGATGCAGTGGCCTCTGGAGGTTGGCCATTTTTTTTAGTTAGCTTCCTGGAAGTTCATTCAAAGCTCCATCATCCATTCAGAATGTTTACTCTTTTTTTTTTAATCCTCACCCAAGGACATTTTTTCATTTTTTCTTCAAATAGAACGGGAGGAAGGGAGAGAGAGAAAAACATCGATGTGAAAGGTACATATTGAGTGGCTGCCACCCGCACGACCCAACCAGGGCCGGGGACAGACTACAACTGAAGTATATACCCTTAGTGGGAACCAAACCCCGGTCTCTCTGGACCGCAGGGCGACACTCTAACCACTGAGCCAAACCGGCCAGGGCAGGAATGTTCACTCTTTTGTTAGTTGGACCACAGCTATTAACTGGATAATTACCCTTGTCTCTTTCTCCTAATCTCTGGCATACTGTACTTTAATTTAGAACATCTCAGAATTTTTCTCTTGTTAATGTTCTTATTTTGGGCTAACCAGCATTCTTTTGATTCCCATAGTCTTTCTCTAGGCAAATTACATGTGATACAATTAGATTTGAGTTTATTAAATTATAATATTTTGATCCTGCCATAGAGTATACTTAAGTCACCTTGGTCAGAATTTTGGGTGTAACTCCACTCCCATCCTCAGAGACATCTGTAGACAGTTCTTTTACTTGCCCAGATGGCATCTCTTAGGTACAGAATTAACCTGTTTTAAACTTAGAAGTCAGCAATAATTCTTGAGTATTCTAGTGCTTTGGGAGCACCTTGTTGTTATGCATATTAATTTAGTGAGAATTAGAAATTGGAGAGAGAGGTTGGGGAGGAGGAATAGACACAAACTAGAGATAGCAGTTACTAATCTAAAAGTTCAGACAAAACTGGGAGTTGCCAAAAATTCTACGATATTTTTTTTTAATATTTTTTAAATTTATTTTTTGATTGATATTTTAGAGAGAAAGGAAGGGAGAGAGAGATAGAAATATCAATGTGCCCTGGCCGATTTTGCTCAGTGGTTAGACGTCGGCCTGTGGACCAAAGAGTCATGGGTTCAATTCCTGTCAAGCACACATACCTCAGTTGCAGTTCATCCCTGGCCTTGGTCGGGGTCGTGCAGGAGGCAACCAGTCAATGTGTCCCTCTCACGTTGGTGTTTCTCACCTCCCCCCTCTCTATCTGTCTCTCTCTCTCTCTCTCCCACTCTATCTGAAGATAAACAGAAACGTATCCTCGGGTGAGGATTAAAAAAATTCATATATCGATGTGAGAAACATCGATCGGCTGCCTCCTGCATGCCACCCACTAGGGATCAAGCCCACAACATGGGCATGTGCCTTGATCGGGAATCGAACCGGGACCTCTCAGTCCATGGGACAATCCAGTTCACTGAACTTTACCAGCCAGGCCCAAGATATATATATTTTTTTATCCTCACCCGAGGACATTTTTCCATTTTTTGTTGATAGAGTGGGAGGGAGGGAGGGAGGGAGGGAGGGAGAGAGAGAGAGAGAGAGAACATCGAGGTGAAAGGGACACATCTAGTGGCTGCCACCCACATGACCAACCAGGGCCGGGGACAAACTGCAACCGAGGTACACGCAGGCCGATGCTCTAACCGCTGAGCCAAACCGGCCAGGGCCAGGCCCAAGATATTTTTAAACTACATGAAAGAAACTATTCCTTCAAGCCTTCAGTTCATTTCCTAATTCTAAACCTGTAATCAACATGAACATTATTCACTTCATATCATTTTAAGGTGGTTGAAGTAAAAAAAAAAAAAAGTAGGTGACTTTGCATATCATTGTAGATTGTCTTGGGGCCATGTTCTTTGGGTTTGTTGAAAGACAGTGGAACAAATTGTTAATAGTGACTGTCCATGGAGAAGATATAGATGGAGGTGGTGGGAGCTAG